CCCCCCCGTCCCATGTCCCCACCTCAGTCCCCCCCAGTGTCCAAAGCAGGGCGTGTCCCTGGCACGTCCCGAGTGTGACACACCTGTCCCTGTCCCCACGTGTGACACACCTGTCCCTGTCCCCATGTGTGACACACCTGTCCCCACGTGTGACACACCTGTCCCTGTCCCCACATGTGACACACCTGTCCCTGTCCCCACGTGTGACACACCTGTCCCTGTCCCCACGTGTGACACACCTGTCCCTCTCCCCATGTGTGACACACCTGTCCCCGTCCCCACGTGTGACACACCTGTCCCCGTCCCCACGTGTGACACACCTGTCTGTCCCCACGTGTGACACACCTGTCCCCGTCCCTGTCCCCGCAGCGTTCACCAGCCGCCTCAGTGGGAACCGGGGTGTTCAGTACACGCGGCTGGCGGTGCAGCGGGGGGGCACCTTCCACATGGGGGGCACCGGCACCCACAGCAGGTCAGTGGGGCCGGGGGGGCTGAGGAGGGGGTGTCCAGCTCTGTGTGGGGTTGGTTTGGGGTTGGTTTTGGGGCAGTTTTGGGGCAGTTTGGGTCACTCTGGGGTCACTCTGTCCCCCAGGCCGGCGGGCAGCAGCGTGGACAGGGCAGTTTGGGTCGGTTTGGGGGCAGTTTTGGGGCAGTTTGGGTCGGTTTGGGGTCAGTTTTGGGGCAGTTTGGGTCGGTTTGGGGTCAGTTTTGGGGCAGTTTGGGTCACTCTGGGGTCACTCTCTCTCCCCAGGCCGGCGGGCAGCAGCGTGGACAGCCTCCTGCGCCTGCGGGGGCGGCTGCTGCTGGACCACGAGGCTCTGTCGTGCCTGCTGGTGCTGCTGTTCGTGGACGAGCCCAAGCTGAACACGAGCCGGCTGCACCGCGTGCTGCGCAACCTGTGCTACCACGCGCCCACGCGGGGCTGGGTGGTGCGCAGCCTCCTGTCCATCCTGCAGCGCAGCAGCGAGAGCGAGCTGTGCCTCGAGACCCCCCGCGGGACCCCCGCGCCGGGCGCCGAGGAGCGGCCGCGGGGCCGCGGCGGGAGCCGCGCCGGGCCCGGCTCGGCGGCGGAGCCGCGGGGGCTGGAGCTGCTGCACCGCATGGAATCGCGCAGCTCCGGGCAGCTGTCGTGGCTGTCGGTGTCCATGGACGCGGCGCTGGGCTGCCGCACCAACATCTTCCAGATCCAGCGCGTGCCCGGCCGCAAGCACACGGAGAAACACGCGGCGGCCGCCGGCTCCGCCGTGCACATCCACCCGCAGGCCGCGCCCGTGGTGTGCCGGCACGTGCTGGACACGCTGATCCAGCTGGCCAAGGTGCGGGGCTGGGGGTCCTGGGGGGGTCCTGGGGGGGTCCTGGGGGGGCACCGGGACGTTTTGGGGTCGCTGGGGGCCTCTGGAGGTCACTGGGGAAGGGTGGGGGGCGCTGCTGGAACATTCCATAGGGGAGCTGGGGCTCCCCCCCACACACACACACCTGGGGGGGCACACCTGGGGACCCCTCCCCACGCCCGGGGTCGCTGCCGGTGGCACAGGGAGCATCACCTTGGGGAGGGGGGGGATCCCCAAAACCTGGGGGTGACTGAGGCCCCCCCGGGGTGGGGGATGGGGGAGTCGGGGGTGTTTTCGGGGTCATCGGCCCCCCCTG